CAAATTCCTACTGTTTTAGTCAATCTTGATTCAACTGCTATGCACTAGTATCGTGGTCTTTTGCCACCTGATCAATCAAACCTCATTTTTTTGCTTTATTAATGCTGAGTGACGTAGACAAATTCGTCTATCTGCATGTTGATCCTCAGAACCTGCTGGAACTATCATTAGGACCTGTAAATTGTTGTGGCTCATTTTTATCTATCATTGCCTTTCAGTTCCATTTTTGGTAATCTTATAACTTGGTAGATAAAATGGTGTAATGTGCTTGTAAACTGTTGTTTGATACGTAATTCATAGTATTTAGGGTCATCATATGTGTAGTAATTGTAGATTAAAATAATTCTTGTTCAGGGAGGATTATTGAACTCTCCTGGAAGTTGTTGATACTTCTATTCAACTGAGGTAATTTGTGTCGGGTCTTGCATATTTTCCTGGAGGGATTCTCCATTGTTTTGTTCCTTTTTTAATTTGTCTCATGTCTTGTGTGATTCTTGCAGTATACCCCTGCAATTGACATTTGGAGCGTAGGATGTATATTTGCGGAGGTCTTGACAGGGAAGCCGTTATTTCCGGGTAAAAGCGTTGTGCATCAACTGGACTTGATTACTGATCTTCTCGGTACACCATCAACAGATACAATATCAGGAGTAAGGAACATAACATGCCCTTGCTATGAAGAATTTTTGCTGTTGTGATATTTATTAAATATGTGCAATTGGTTATGTCCTGGATGCAGGTGAGAAATGAGAAGGCGAGGAAGTATTTAATGGACATGAGGAAAAAGCGTGCAGTGCCTTTTGCCGAAAAAATTCCAAATGCTGATCCTTCAGCTCTCAAACTATTACAAAGATTGTTGGCATTTGACCCAAAGGATCGTCCAAGTGCCGAAGAGGTGGGTTTGCCTGTAATATCTGCAATACAAAATTCTATATGTTTGTGCAATGTTTGCTCATTTTTGGATTCAAATGCTGGTCCAGTCGTTTTAACTTCTGCAATTGATTTTTGTTTTATATTTGTATTATAGGCATTAGCCGATCCTTACTTTAAGGGGCTGTCTAAGATTGAGAGGGAGCCCTCTTGTCAACCAATCTCAAAGTTGGAATTTGAGTTTGAGCGACGTAGAGTGACGAAAGAAGATATTAGGGAATTGATATTCCGGGAAATATTGGAGGACCATCCTCAGTTGTTGAAGGACTACATGGCAAGAAATAGTGGCACAAGTTTTTTGTATCCCAGGTATGAACCTTTTCAATTCAATCTTGTGAATTCGATATATTAGCTCTATATGTTTTTGGTTGGTAATTTTCTGTATTATCCAGTGCTATTGGACACTTTAAGAAGCAATTTGCGTACCTGGAGGAAACTGGGAAAAGTGGGCCTGTGATACCTCCCGAGAGAAAGCATGTTTCTCTTCCAAGGTTGGTTTAAACTTTATGTTTGTTTTACTAATGGTAATTTCATCTATCAATGAGGAAAGAACCAACACGCTTATTGATCATTGACATGACTTATTGCACACTGCACATACTCAGCTTGATTGAGGCTGTACTTGCCTTATAAACTTCCTTGAGCAGAACCATATCAAGTAGTCTTGGTCTTATATATTCTCCCAATCTTAAAAAACATTACTATCTGTTGTTGTTGTTGTTGTTGT